ATCTTGCTAGGATTTTTTGGTATGCTGCTTTCTGAGAAAAATCAATAACTCATTGAAGAAAAATCGCATTGAGTCGTACAACGTCTCATTTTGACGAGAAAAGTCTGCTCTATTTTTCTGAATCATCGAAAATGACTTTTGACTAACTTTAAAAAAGTTAAAAATTTTAATGCTTTTAAATTTGTAAAATTTCATCTTATTAAACTTGCTAAAGTTAAATGAAAATTTGCCTTCTTACATGCTTAGATACTCTAAGGTGTTCTCTACATAAATCTGTCCTCGAATTTATTCTAGCTACTTTAGTTCACGGGAAAAAGTGTCTTAAACTTTTGCGGTCCACTTTAGTACGTAATCTCTTGGAATGAAGCTTGAATGGAGCATTAGCTAATAAATAGCAAATGCACTTATGTGGCACTGTCTATAAAATAAACTAGGAGACTTCAATTTTCTCGATTAGAACTTAACCGCTATATAATAAAAATATCATATTTAGAATCAGGATCAAAAACTCAGTCGACTGATCTGTATTTCGAAATTTTTAGCTGATTTCAGTTTTGGGTGAAAATCGTGATGATTTTTCAACGTGAAAATTCGAAAAAAACTAAAGTACTCGAATAGGATAGGCATACACATCAGTCAATCCATTTTTTCATCTTGATTCCGAATATGATATTTTTATTGCATAAAAGTTGACTTCTGGTGGAAAAAATTGAGAATTACGAATTATATTCAAATCAGCAAAAAAAATTTGGGACTCAAAGGGATAAACCCGTTTGTTTTAAAAAAAGATTATATTATGTTTTTCCCGTCCAACTTATTTGTTTGTCTACGCTGTTTGTTTCCGGTGATTATTTTACGTTATTTGGTTTTGCTGTTGAAAAAAAGACAGTATTCTTCTATAGAACTAGACTAATTAATAGAACATACGAAAGCCTTTTTAGCTGAGTTCGATCGATCTTCGGAGCTTGTCCAAATATCCCGAACTTTTTCAAAATCTTATAGAAGACTTTTAAAATTGAAGAAAAATAAAGACATCAGATGCGAAACATTTCAACATACATTTCCAATTGCAGGCATCATTACTTATTATCAATTTAGGTATGGCTTAGTAACCCTCCTGAACCGTTTCTTGTTCTGTATAGTTTCATAGGAGAAGGTTTAGTAATTTTACTCGTTTCTGTACTAAACGCTTTATAAGAGTTTAGGAAAATGAAACTATTCAGAACGAATAAGGGTTTTAGAGAGCTGCTAAACCCTCTCTTAAACTCTTTTTTATGTAAACTCTTAAATTCTTATCGTTCTGTATGGTTTCATTTTCCTAAATTCTTTAAAGTTTTTTAAACTACGCTTTTTTTTAGAGTGTAGTTGAACGAAGACATCATTGACGATTTTCAAAATGTACTGAAGGTCATTTTCTTAGTGTATATAAGCGGAGAAGGATTTTCCGATAGGGAAATTTTATCGAAATTTCGTGCACTGCAACATCAAACACGCGGTCGCCCATGAACTTTTCATAATTTCTAGTATGCTTCCAAGCGGGAACTTCTTTTCGTATGTGTCCACAAACTATTTTGCAATTTTTACTCGTGACGATGTGTGATAAATATCAGAAAAAAATTTTCTGAACATTTGACGCTTGCTCCCAGGTGTCTTATTTTTTCACATGCCATTTCACGTTGTTCATGCTTGTTCGTATTTCATTTCACAATATTCACGAATGTACGCACCGTGAATGCCACTAAACGCAGTGTATTTGCGGGTATGAGATACTGTCTGTTCGTTTTGTTCTTGAATAACAGAAAATTATAAAATTGACAGACACTTATTGATTAATCCGTTTTTTAATGCCCTGTTTGGATAGATTTCCAAAGTAGAAAACGTATTTTGTGTTCGCAAATGCAAAAATTCTGTTTCTTTTTGTGCGGTTTTTTTGATGACAAGATAACTGCGGAGGAGGGCTTTTTGATGACAAATCAGATCTATTATTATCGTGCTCTTTAAGATATTCATCAATATAAAATAATATTTATTCAGATTAACGAAAATCTTATGATAATTCGTGACTTTTTCTCTCTTCTCTCCCTCTTTATTCCTCTTTGTATCTATGCTTTTTAATCTGAGCTAACGACACAAAAAACAACCATGCGTTTTATTTTAATTGGTTCTGCGCTTGTGTGTTTTGCAATAAGTTTCAAACTCGATTTGTCTGACCCTGACTATAATATTGGTGGAACAGTTAAAAAAGGTTGGGAACCATTACGTGATTTGTTTCAAGAAAACTTCGAAAACGAGCTCGATTTGGGTGCGTCTTTAGCCATTTACCACCAAGGAGAACTTGTTGTGGATTTATGGGGCGGGTGGTTTGATGAACAGAAAACTAAGCCTTATGATAATGATACACTACAACTCGTATTTTCCACATCAAAAGGCCTCGTTGCAACGGCTGTTGCTCTTTGTGTACAACGTCATTTATTGAACTATACCGATATGGTTACAAAATATTGGCCAGAGTACGGACAAAATGGCAAGGAAAATACAACAGTGGCCGATATCATGTCACATAGAGCTGGACTACCTGTACTGAGTAATACTAATATGTCAGTTGACGATTATTTAGATTGGTATTCAATGATCCACGCATTGGAGAAGCACCGCCCATACTGGGTGCCGGGCACGCAACATGGTTATCATGCACTTACCTATGGATGGTTAGCTGGTGAACTTGTTAGACGCGTTGATACAAAACAAAGAACTTTAGGACAGTTCATCCGAGACGAAATTTCAAAACAGACACAAAGCGAATTTTATATTGGATTACCTGAAGAATACGAACGTCGTGTGTCACCACTCGTCATGAAACCCTCAGAACAGCAAGTGTTGAATGCGGAAAATAATTTATTACTGCAAGCATTAACGGAAGATCCTTTAGCAGGATTGCTTGAATTTAATGATCCGAAAGTACACCGAGCTGAGATTCCAGCGGGGAATGGGATAACAAATGCTCGATCCCTAGCTCGAATCTATGCATCGTTGATTGGTGATTCAAATAATTCAAAACAATTATTAAATGCGATGATCTTAAAACAGGCAACGAAATCAAATACACCTGAAAACGAACTAGATCAAATTTTTAATACACCGACTACATTTGGAATGGGTTTCCAGACCTATGGACCAGTGTTTAACCTATTGGGACCAGGAACATTTGGCCATAATGGTGAGTTCAACTACTATCTGTCCATTAAAACAATGAACTCAGCTATGTATTGAATAGCTTAAGAGCAAAAGCACATACTTATGGAGTTATCTTTCCATCAGCAAAGAGACTTTCAGATTTTTATAGAATCATGCTTAACACTTAAACTCAGTCTGTCTTGTATTTTTCAAGTGATTTGAAGTCAAAATAATTTGAATGACATAGGAAATCGTTAGTTTTTGACAAAAGGCTGAACAGATGAAAATTCAAGCGCTTTTTTGACTCTCATTCAGAAGTGGACACTATCTGTTCATGAGAAAAAAAATCAGTATAAAGTTATTGAAAGTCTGTAAGGTGTGGCTCAGTTTTTGAAAATCTGTACTCACCTGTTTTGGAGTTATTTAGGTGCTGGTGGCAGTATAGGTATGGCTTCTCCACCCCTCAATCTCTCATTTGCCTATGTTATGAATCGGCTCGACCGCGAATCTTCATCAGCCATCGATCCTCGAATTAAGCCAATCATAGACAAAATTAGTTTAATCGTACACAATCAAGACTAAGCTTGCTGGTTGTATTTGTTTCTGCTATCGAAAAGTTTAACTGAAACAAACTTAAGTTAGCTTTAAAATCTTACTACAGTACTTTGGCGTCAAATTCACGGTAATGAACTGTTCATTTGATAACTTCGCCTGTGATGGTTTTTTGTTATTTTAAGAATATACCTGAGTATTTTTTAGCGAGTGTTATGGGCTATCTATCGGTATAATAATATTAATAGATCATCAAATTTGATTTTGTACAGAAAATAAATAAGGTGTGATATAACTTTTATAACGGTTTTTAATTTATTTGTTTGACTTAAATAACAACTGATCTACAAACGAAGTACCATCTTTAATAACTATCAATACTACAATTCGTGTAAGTACAGAAATATTGTGTGAGATGTTTCTGTTTGATAAGAGTCTATGGACATAATTAGCGATTATTGCAAAATGGGTCTCGTTCAATGATCATCTTCAGATTACTGTATTTTCAATGGTTATGAATTCGTACACGTTTGCGCATCCATCAAAGATGGAAAATAATAAGTCCTATAAGACAGTCAAAAATAATTCCAAAAAAACTATGGGTAATTATGGTAAACACTACCATCGTGATTAGGATTAATATCCACTTTTCTTTTAAAAAAGAATAATCACTCCAATCGCTATTGGCAAATGATGACTGGTATGTATACGTATATAACAGGTGTATAAATATGTAATAAAACAGTAAATAAAAAAAATAAAAGTGATCGGACATACAGTTATAAGTCAAATCAATGATTATTTATATTTGTTGATAACTGTTATTTATTCAAATAGTAGTTGGTAGTGGCTATTATATGTCGACAAAATCGACAAAAATTGATGAAAATCGGAAAAATCAGCTGTTTCCTCCCTGAGTAAATGACAAAACCAATATCCATTCTGTAAGTTACGAATTTTTTCTTTTTTCAGACTAATATTTAATATAGATTTATTTTAGGAAAATGTGCTAAAACGTTATCAAATTTTTTTCTTAATTCGTATGATATCGTATTTTTAAGCTGACCCAAACTTTTAATCCTCTACACTTGCAATATGGTTTAGATTCATAAGATATGGGTTTTTGACTTTGCCGAATACATGTACAGATATCCGAAACCGGGGAGTGTCATGAAATCCAGATTTTTAAAATCCGGATGTTTTTAGGTCCGGGAAGACTTTTTATCCGGAAATCCTACTTGCCCGTGCAACTTCACCCGGATGTAATTTCATCCGGATTTAAAAGTCCGTAAGATTTTCGGATGAATTTCCCCCATCCAACCCCGGTAAAAAATATTCTAAATGAGCTTTTCACTTGTTATAAAAAGCAATGCAAGTCCGATTGTTAATCAGTTGTATATTAGTCTTAGATTTTACATCAAGTAAGTCCAGTGTAACTTAATGAGGTAAGTCTGCAATAGGAAAACTGGCTCAAATTTTCCAATAATATTTAGTGATAATACTAAACACACTTACAAACACAACATCGTTAAATTTTATTTGTAATGCAACCGAAGTTGCACTAAATTCCGGTTTAAGTAGCTATAGGAGTCGACCGACATTACAGAATGATACTCTAGTGTGTGCGGACATGCTTAATGAATGAAACCAACTCCAAATGTACTTTAATAATGAAACTAACGGGTGATCCAAGATAAATTGCACTAAATTCTGATGCATTTTTCATTTATGAAAAAAATGCCCTGAATATCAAAAGATAGAGAATTTCAAGCTCTACAAAACTGATGACTTCGTTTTTGAAACAAATTTTTCTTATCGTCACCGAATTAAAATGATTCACGTCTAATCAATTAAATCATTCAACTGCGATTTCCTATTTTTTGCTGGCATTTATTGATTTGTGTAAGCTTTTGCTCATCAAGATCGATGCTAAAAGTAAATTATTTAACACCAATAGATAGAGAATTTTGTGCTCTATGCTTCCACGATCTTTTCAATGTTCCTGTTG